ATAAACTGGAAAGTGTACATTTTTGTTGTTTTTAGTGGTATTTTCTTAAATTACAAAGATGCAAGGAAACGATTTGTGCTTGGTTAAAGAATTAATTTGATTCTCTAAAAAAATCATCTTTTATTTTTAATAAAGTGCAGAGTTTTGTTTTCAGGTTTCTAGTGTGCGTCCTGTTTTTTTACATGGTCTAATACCAGAACAACAAATGGACTACTATAAATATGATATTAAAAAACACATTTAAAGTATTATCTTTTGCAATCCTCTGATTAAATCTTGGATGAACTGTTTGTTTTTTGTTGTTGTATTTTTATGAATAAGGCCTGCGTGTGATGAGTGAGCCTTATCACACAAGAGGTTATGACTTCCCCTACTATTTGTTGCCACAACTAACCAAAAAATGTGTGCAGAGAGTTCAAACATCCTCGTAAACAAACTTATTTTTAATAGTCCACCCCAGAAGCATATTTACACATTGTCACAACAGTTCCAATTCTAACATTCAGTGCGGAAAATTGTCAAAACTGATTATTTAATTCATAAAAATATCTTAATGAAATAAAGAAAACATTTGCAAACCTCATTAACATGACCCAGATTTTTCCCAGGCCTGATAAAGACTGTAGTGAAAACCATTAGAATTTGGTTGCCAAAATAAAACAAGCTTTGTCTCACATGTCTGGGAAGATGCCTTATTGACCGCTGCAGGGAGTCTGAATTGTCACATGGTGGCAGTAAATGGTCAGCCAGTTCCCACAGACAGCGCAGTAAAAGAAGCAGGGATAAGACCTGGCAGCTGCCTGGCCGTAACAATGTTTTCTGCCTCGGAAACCATGTCAGTAGCTGATTTCTCTTCGTTTTTCCCCTTCACACTATGAGAGCCTCTTCTCACCAGCACTGCTTTATGTGTGTGTAGCTCCCACGCTGTACTCCAGAGTCGGAGCTGTGCAGCCTGCCTGCAGTGAGTTTAACAGGCTGGTGTTGGTGATGAGGTGACAGGCCTGTGAGCAATCAGTCTGATTCAGTCAGCAAACATCAGATGCCCCCCTTCCTTTGGCTGATATTTCATACGCTTACCCTTGCAACAACAGAAAGATGGGGCAAGGGCAGGCTTTGCTGTTGGCTCTTTGTCATTTAGCACACATTAGCAGGTTGAATGCATAGTGTCAGTGACATGAAAAGCAGGCCAGAGAGAGCTGAGCGTCTACCTAAACGAAGGGTTACAAGCGATACAAGTCAGCACTCCTTGATGATTTTCTTTTGTATACTCTGTCCTGTAACAGAGTTCAGATAACTCATGTATAGCACAAATGTTCTTGGTGCACTTTACATCGGCTCATACTGCATATAGTAGAGCATACACTCACCAGCCTAACACAAATGTTAGCCAAGCATAGGTTCAAACCGAGCATCAGGATGGGGAAAGAAAGCGATTTAGCTCATTTGACCCTTGCACAGTTGTTGGCATCAGATGGGCTGATCTGAATATTTTCCACACAACCATCTCAAGGGTTTACGGACAACAGTCTGAAAAAGAGAAAATGCCCAGTGAGCCGCAGCTCTGTTGTGGCCGGAGGTCAGAGGAGAATGGTCCCACTGTAGAGCGCCTTTGTGATGTGGTGGAGCGGGAGATTCACATCATGGACGCGCCGACAAATATGCAGCAGCTTGTCTGATGCTGTTGTGTCAGTATGGACCACAATCTCTGAGGGCTGTTTCCAGCACCTTGTTGAATCTCTGTCACAAAGAATTAAGGCAGCTCTGAAGGCAAAAAGGGGAGTTCAACCCAATACCAGGAACATGTACCTAATGAAGTGGCTGCTGAGTGTATCAGATGCCTCCTCCGATTAGATTTCCCTGCCCAGCAGATGGCGTGCCCAACAGATGCAAAGCTCAAACAAGCAGCTGTGTTGGTGTTTAAGTGAAAGTAAAGAAAGAGGGCAGTAGAGTACCACGCTACAGCTGGTGGAAAATAAAGTCCACCACACTGAAACCTCGGGGAGCAAACAGAGTAAGACAGGAGAATAACTCATCTGGACACTTGAGATCATATCCATCATTAAACACAACGAAGGAGGCACTTTATTGTGCTAGTCTGCGTTGTTATTTCCCATGAAATTCAGCTCAGGCGCTTTTGAGAAGACACAGGATATGTTTCAACAATTTAGAAGGTTTTATTTCACAGTTTCATCTGTGTAGGTATTTAAAACTTAGAATTCAAGACAATTTAATTCTCAGTACATAGAGCTACAGGTGGAGGTTTACCAGAAACAACTGATATGTCACATAGATTTCTACATCTATCATACCTTCAAATCACTGACTAAAGTTTCATCATCAGGCGCTTTTAGATTAGGTGCTAATGACCAGACGCTCATCAAGGAGTGAAAAACCTATCCTGTTTAGGCTCTGGTGTCCTCTCTGATGTGACACGTGTTGTGACATCAGGGTAAGATCCAAAGACATGCCTAAAGTCCTTCAGAAAGAGTTTCTATTATTTATCATTATCATTATTATTTTAGATGCCTTTAAGGTCAGAGAGAAACCACAAAGATCTTCAAATAAAATATTGCATAGTAAGGAAAATAACAACAATTGATTTTTCCACTAAATACACCCCAAGAAGACTCCATGAAGCCATAAAATTCACGTAGGTAACTCTTGCAAGCTGTAGTGTCATAGTGCATGTAGCTACAATCAGAAATAGAAGTATAGAATATGAAGTCTTTCAGGAAAACTCAAAAAGAGCCACTTTTACAGCTAACATAGAGGTATAATAACTATTATGCTCTCGAACTGTAACAGTATCCTTGACAAAGGCCAAAGTTGTCTTTTCAGTAGCGGAACTGCAAACCAGCTGTGAAAAATGGCAGTGAAAATGTGATTCAGGGTGGCATTGCCACAGGACATAGAGCATTTACTGATTCACCTGTGCACATTCTGCATCACATTAAAGAGTGCTTGAATATAATGCAAAGCCATTTGTCCATGAGCCAAAGCTTAACAAGAAGTGCACCTTTAAAAAGGATGATAATGCTAAGTGCACAAGGAAATCTATCAATGGATGCCTCTGAAACCTGGAACTGAGTCAAAAACAAGATCCTGCTGTGGTGTTTGGGGGATTTGAAAATGGCTAAACCTTCAAGTGAAATAAGTCAGTCAGTCAGTCAGTTGTCCATCCATCCATCCATCTCAAATTCAGGGAAAGGAGTTGAGCTGGAGCCTATCCCAGCTGTCATATATAGCAATTCTTTCAATTTACAATCACAGCACACCTCTGTATACTTTTAGTCATTAATTTCTTTGTTATATTAAACAGAGATCATGTGAAGCAAAGAAAGTATTAATAACACACATATAATGACAGACACAAGGCATCAGTAGCATAATATTTTTGGTCCATCACCCCAATTAAAATAACAATATTTTTTGTCGTCCTTGGTGGTCATGCTACATTTATCAAAACCTCCCGGGACATTAGAAAAAACGCAGTTTTGTCCAAGAAATGTGTTTCATGGATGCTTTTATTTTTGTGAAGCAGGAAACAGATTAAAGCCACTCTTAGGTTATTTATGCTTTATGTAACAGACTGAACTTTTATGGCTGTAGATAATTTATCAGAATGTGCTGAATATGTCCAAAAATGTGCTACGCTGGACATCTTCTATCACAGTCCAACAATCTGATGGTGAAAGTGAAGCCCTGCAGAAGGATTTCATTTCAAAGCGCACTCATTTCTCTTCATCTGTCATCTCATTTCTTCTCTCTCAAATATGGTCACATTTTTATTTCAATATCACCTCCATTTTTTATCTTCATTTCCAAAGATGGGTGGAATGTTTTTTAAAGACTGACTTATTGATTGATGAAGCTTACTCTGTAGTCTGTTGCAGATATTGTGTTTTTTCACAAATAACACACGAGGGATGTAAAGCATATTGTGCTTGGCACCACAACAGACGCAAGTATAGTCTAGTACGTCCAGTTTTTGCTCATTGCAGATAGAAACTGAGAAACTGTAGCCCTCTGATTTATATATATATATATGTATATATATATACATATATATGATATAATGGCAGGTTATGTAGAGGAGAATAACATGTCATGACTTCATCATGAATCATCATTAATTTGCAAATTCGGAACATATTTTAATAATCACTGAATTTTTTAATTTCCACAAAAGCTATTTGACACAACAAATCACACCTTTCAACTTTTCTTTTATTTTGAAAAGATTTTTGTTTGTTTTTTATGGACACCTAAAATGTAAATGTGCCCTTTGGGTTGACTTTTGTTTAAACGCGGTGTAGGCTATAAATAAAATAGACGTGACAGTCAAGACAAAAAAGGTTCAGATATTTTTTATAGCGCATGTTTGAGGTATGAAAAAAGATAATTGTTCAACACGCTTTAGTGGGCTACATACTGAACTTTGAGGATAGAAACACAGTAAAGATCCTATCATGCTCGTATTGATTTCATACCGATATCAGTATTGGTATCAGTACTATCGATAATTAGATGAATCCAGAAAACACTACAATGACACCCGGATGGATAAGCTAAGAAAATGGATGGAGGAACTCCTTGAAGCATCAAGCATTGAGTCACAAGGGTGCTTCCTCATGATGTACATGCTATGAGTTTCAAGGTTTCCATGCCAGCGATGTGTGCCTTCTTGGCACAGATGAGTATAAGGTATGCATGCGAGGGACACGCAGACAGCAAAGACTTTCCACGTGTTTATTCTCGCTTCAACATGTCCGTTTTAAACACGTTGAAATGATGAGTCAAACAACACGTGGCATGTCCTAATTTCAGAGACCCCGTGTTCGTTAACAGTGTGATCGTTTTCAAAAGAGAAGCCTTCAGAGCTGCGCTGCATTTCAGCTTCTGTGTGGGCCAATATTACAGCTGGTTTTCATGTATTATCACCAGAGTTATGACATATGAATAGTTGCAGTGTGATAAAGACTCAAAATCACCAATTGAAGTGCAAATTTAAGACAATTTATTTCAAGCAGGTTTGCAAACAAGGTTGTCATCAAGTGCTTCAAAGCAAACAAACGCCACAAATCCAGACATGAACAAGAATAAACCAATCACATGCTTTTCATTACCTACTTTCTGGCTGCCTCAATAAAAAAAAAGAAAAAAGAAAAGAGACAGTAAAAATGTGGGAACTCCTGAGACCCGTGCAATATCTGTTTTTGAGGCGCACTTTGGAATTAGTAACAGCAGTTCAAGCCTCTAATAAATTGTCAGGTATTGCACAACTCCTTACTTCAAGTCTAAGCAAGTGAACTATGCTAGATGATGACCTCAAAACATTTAAAGGGAGTTAAATTTAACTTTTCTCCCTATTTGATTTCCACGAATGAGGTCAGGTCAGTGCTGAGCAAGTTCCAGCCCTGAATTCTAGATGTTTCACACGTTGAGAAAAATAAAGACGAGCTCACTGTAAACCTGAGCAGACCCTCTCTGAATGGTGGAAAGATTCATACCAGTCAATACAACTTAGAAAACACAGATACAAAAACTAGTCTGTTGCCGCAGCGACAGGGGAGTCAGTTTGGCATGTATGAACACTTCCAAGCAACATATGATCCCCTTGCACATTTTAAGACCCCTCAGAGAAACATAAACCTCCTCATATCTTCAGATCGTCTATTCTAGTCTTGTTGTTGCTGTGTTTGGCACTGTGGCCAGGCCTGGCCTGCGTAGGTGACCCAGGGGCAGATCCTGCTCCCTTCTTTCCTTTCAGGTCACATTCCTCTGGCTTGCTGCTGCTGCTCCTCTCCACCGCCAAGTTGTCCTTGTTCTGTTTGTAGGCTGCCTTGCTGTGGTAGGGGTGGAAGGACGAGTCTGTGGCCGCGGTGTAGCAGGGCACCGGCGGGTAAGCGGGCTGGACTTGGTGGTGCTCGTGGAAGTAGTCATCGTAACTTGGGGCAAACGGCACTGCAGTCTCGCCGGGCTCCTTGGAGGTACTCTCATGGGACTGGTTGCGCCTCCTGAAGGTGATGCCCTGGCGGCACTTGGTGAAACCCAGATGGTAGATCTCTATGAGGTTGAGGAACAGAGACACAGAGGCCACTCCAAGCATGAAGATGATGAAGATGGTTTTCTCTGTAGGGCGGGATATGTAGCAGTTAACCACATTGGGGCAGGGGGGTCTGTCACATGTGTACATGGGTTTGAGCTCAAAGCCGTACAAAAAGTACTGGGCCACGATGAAGCCCACCTCAAACAGCGTCTTGAAGATCACATTGAAGACATATGTCCGCAAAAGCTCCCCCTGCAGGCGGACTCGTCCCTTATTGTCTCTTATCAGAGCCTTCTTGTGCTGCACATCCACAATGAGAGTCTGTTTGTCTGATTGATGACTGTGCTCATTTTCTTTCTCTTTCTGCTTTTCCTCCATCCGGACTAGATGGAGAATGTGCCCCAGGTATATCAGAGTCGGTGTGGATACAAAGATTATCTGCAGCACCCAGAACCGGACGTGAGATATGGGGAAAGTGATGTCATAGCATACGTTCTCGCAACCGGGCTGCTTGGTGTCGCAGGTGAAGCCCGACTGCTCGTCGCCCCACACCTTCTCTGTCGCAGCACCCAGGATCAGGATGCGGAAGATGAACAGGACAGTGAGCCACACCTTCCCCACGACGGTGGAGTGCTCCTGGGCTTTTTCCAGGAGCTTTCCCAGCAGGTTCCAATCCCCCATGGCTGTGAGAGGTCAGATCTAGAACTACAGAGGATTTGAAAACAGAAATCAGTTATTTCATCTATAGACTGTTGTACACAGCAACAGAGATTAAATGACTACAGTAAAACGAATCCTGAGCGTACGCCTCATCCTTCCTGACGACTAAAAATTCTCTTACCAAGTTCAGGAGAGATCAGAACAACCAAGTCTTTCGGGAGTCAAGCTGCTAACTGAGCGTCCAACTGGGTGACCGCCACTGAGCAGGTAGTGGTCTTATCCACATGGGTGCAAACAGGATTATATTTACTTTGGGAGGGTATATATTTGGCAAGTGTGGACAGGAGGAAGGCAGGTTTCAGACATGATTCTGCAGCTCCTGGCCTTCATGACCCACGCCATGGCAACACGAGCCACAGGAAGTGAAATCAAACACTGGGCAGATGTGGTGGGTGTGCGAATTAGAAACAGTTGAGTAATGTTGGAGCTGTCAGCTCCTGTGACACATTAGGTTTTAAATAGATTCTGCTTCTGATGAATGGTCTATACAGTAGTAAGAGTGGAAGTAGAAGGTATGCTGCTCTGGAGGATGAATTCAAGTGTTGAAATGTGGCAGGTGGGCTGACGCTGAGGGAGCCAGCACCAACAATCACAGATTGGACAGCAATTTAAATATGGGACCCCCACTCCACAGTGTGAGATCCCACATTACAATGAAGAATAATGCCATCATTCAAGGAAAAAGAAGTGAAACAACAACTTCTGTTCTCACGTAAGACAGCTGTTAACCTGCACTTACAGCATTTGGCCACAGCATGCACCATTAATAAGTTAACTTTAGGTTTAGGACTATAATTTAAACTCCTGAAGAAACAAATATTTCAGTTTATAAAGCATACAGTTAAAAAAAAAAATCACAGAAAACTCACATTTACTGGAGAAAGTCACCGTGTCAGCTCATACATCCTCTGTGGCAAAGCTTCCCACGTCTGGCAGGGTCCATGAGGCCTCACTGCTTTACCGACTGGCCTCAGTGCAACACTGATCTTAGGACCCCCAACAATGCCCTTGAATGGACAGGAAAAGCAGACTCTTGCGAACCACAAACTTAGTTCCACGCCGACAAGCTCAGTTACTCAGTCTTCTGTCTTCAAATACAACTCTCGCAGAAATCAGAATCCAGGCCCAGGGGTCTTTAGCCAGCCACAGCACACATATGCACACACACTCAACCAAAGAACCAACCAACAAACCTGCTCTCCCTTGACCCTCCCTCCCCCCTCGGTTAAATTTGGCACAGTGTGCACTGTCCAGTGTAAACTATTAAACAAACCCCTGCTCGCATGCTACGGCGAGTGACAGGGCAGCTGGCCAATGATCTTGTCTGCTAAGTCTGTCTGGCCACAAGTGTTCCCGAGATCTAAATATATCACAAGGGTCTCTTTTCCTATCATGGGGGTGGAGATGGGATGGTGGTGGTGCAGGAATGATTTGGAGATGAACAACTACTGGCATCCTGAAGTTCCAAACCACAGTGACAGGAAAGGGGTAAATGTATTTATTTATGAAAAAAGCTGAGTTTCAATGAGTTAAAATCCTAGCTACTAAACACAACTCACTTCAGACATATTTCATTATTTCATCAGGTACTCAAAGAAACAACACACTGCATGTTTGCTGAATAATCTCATATTATCTGCCAGTTTATTTCTTCATAATCCACAATGTACACTGTTTCAACCCATTGTATAGTTTATCTGGATTGATTACCTGGATGTAAACTGCTACATGTGCATTTAGAAAGGGTTGTTTGTATGTTAAACGCACACATGGCAAACGATTTGTATAAACAGCTACTTTACATTTTATTTACATTTACAGGACAAGTAAGATGGTCACTAATATATCATGATGGTTAATACTAGGGTCTGTTAAACAGTACGTCAGCTGCAAACATTTATTTAAGCCCACTGGAAGAAAATTTTACAAAGATGAAAAGTAAGAAAAGGTATTCTAACTCAAGGATATCTGCAGTAATGAGACTGGACAAATTCTAAGCTGAGGTACCTCTGCAGACAAGCGGAAAGGAATAACACCGACATTTTTAACTTTTTGGGGATTATGAGCTGAAAATTGATGAAGGTTTACCGACAAGTCAAAGTGAACACACATGTAGAAGCCACAATATTAAAACCGCTGATGGTTGAACATCCTTACAAAACAGTGTTCTCTGTGGAAACTTCTTTGCATGCGTGAGAGTGCTACCATCTGAACACAACAGATCAAGGTAGTAACCTGGCCTCCAAACTCTCCAGATACACAACTTCAAAAAGTCGAAGTTTCATGCTTCGGTGCATTTGAGCTCTTTTGATGGCATGATATTAGGCAGCTGGTTTCAACACTGTGGCTTACAGGCACCGGTGATGACATGGCAATCATGTTTGGACAGTATTAGATTGTTTTGTTTTTTTTAATTGAAAATTTCTTTTCTAGCACCAACTGTAGCAACAAGCAGTCTACATTAAGTTCAGAAAAAATCAGTGACCACCCAATAAAATCTAACCACCATACAGTTAACAGCTGTTCAAGTCATTTTACCCATTTATATGTGCTGTCCTATATATCCAACAGCTTCTAATGGTTTCATTTTTTGAATTTCTCATCCAGCATTTCAACTCCTTCAATAACCTCTGATTTTTAAAGGACCAAAGTGATGTTTCAGAGCATTTTGGTTGACTTTTACCGTTACGTGTTTTTGTTTGTTTACTTTGGAATTGTGGCGTCCACAATTTCCTTAAATTTCAGTATCGAAAGATCTGCTATGGTGTGGACTTATGTACAGATTACAAACCCTTTTCCAAACAGCAATCTTTATATTGCAGACTTTTTGCACCAATTATAACTGGTATGTTTTAAATTGCTCATATTCAACAACAATCAGTACACCTGTTTTGATTCTTCTAAGAATACTGAGCTGCAACAACAATACAGCTGTTACAAAAACAAGGCATCACACTCAGTCAGCCTAAGCTTGTCAACAACTTGACAAACTGCTATTTATACTAAAAAATAATATAATGGAAGCCTTCAGAAGCATTGTGGAAACCAGAAAAAAGAAAAAAAAAGAAAAAAACCCCCCTAAAGATCTAATCAAGGTAAGCTTGTTTTATTGTAACAGCAGCCACCTTGGATTTGCAGTAAATGAGCTAAAATGTTCATAAGCACCAGTTTGGTCTTTAAACCTTCACTACAGACTCTAAATAGTTTAGGGGAGAACAGCAGCCAATATTTGTGAGTAAAAATGAACTGATAAAAACAAGAATCTAATATCCACTGACTGAATTATGTTTAAATAAATAGCCAAAAAGCTGAAATTGACCTAATACACAGTATATATGTGACTTTAATGCATGAGATACTACGTGGTCAGGTGAGGTTACTCATTAGTTCAAGAGAGTCTCAGAAAGCAGAACACCTCTCACCCCTCTCGGCTGGGCTCTTTTTGGTCACAGTGAACTTAGACTTGAGAGAATGATCTGCTATCAGCTGATTGATTTCATTTTGCTTGTAAGTGGACAATCTTTGGCTTATCCATGGTAACTTTGACTCGTCTTCAGAGCTGCGGAAGGACCGTTTGCAGGCCCGGCCTATGAGATACACCACCTCTGCCAGGTTGAGCAGCACACACACCGCAGACACTGCCAGCATGAACACAGTGAATATGGTCTTTTCTGTCGGTCTGGAGACAAAGCAGTCCACCGTATTGGGGCAAGGGAATGAGTCACATTTCACCAAACGCACCATCTTAAAGTCAGGATAGATCAAGTAAAAGATGTAGAGAAAAGCCACTTCGAAAATTATTCTAAAGATGATACTGATCATGTATGTCCACCACAGAGCGCCCGTGATCTGAAACTTCTGGTTCTTGATGTGTTCCAGCTCTTTGGGACTACTGCGGCCTGCCCTCTTCAGGATCTTCTTGTCGATGTGCCTTCGGTGGGCTACGTGCATGGCCACTAAGAGTGCAGGGGTGGAGACCAGGATGAGCTGGAGCGCCCACAGACGGATGTGTGAAATTGGGAAGAACTGGTCGTAGCAGACGCTATTGCAGCCGGGCTGCTGGGTGTTGCAGGTGAAGCCGGACTTTTCATCGCCCCAGACGCTCTCCGCAGCAACCACCAGGACCAGGATGCGGAAGATGAAGATGACAGACAGCCAGACGCGTCCGATGCCAGTAGAGTGCCTGTTTACACCGCTGATCACGGCATAAAAGGACCCCCAGTTCATTTTTGACTCCAGGTCTGGGGAAAAAAGGGATTAATATAAGTTTTTACAGGTGTAGGCAGTTACATGTGTGGGATGCTTTGCATCTAAAAATCACCCAAAATTCTAATTACTAAGAAAATTTACTCCCCCTTTTTTATTACTGGCATAAAGTCACAATGGCTTGCCAGTTAAATAAGGTCTTTAGACTATAACTGCACACAAAACTTAGCATTTCAGAAAAAATCTAACCGGTGTAGCATGAGTAGTTAGAGGTTTACCAGGCTCAGCCGGCGGTGCAAGCGGCGTAAGCAGCACCGGGTCCAAAGATGACCATCTTGAAGTATGACCTGAGCATCAAGCCGGATTTGGCAGTCAGGAACAACAGACAAGAATTGCCAAGTAGCCTGCCGGCTGTATAAAAACAGGGGCGATGGCCTGCCATCATGCACCGTCAGAAGACGCAACAGGTTGAAACCAATTGCAAAACATTTGCAGAACCACGTGATATGCTTATCCTGTATTAATACTCTACTCCCAGGCTGGCTTACAGCCCAACTGCAGACAGACTGCCAGCAAATTTCTCCAAGGGAGCAGCAAGACATGCATCTCATTGAGGCTTTCCTTTTTTTTTTTCCTTGAGAGATCTCTATTGTTTGAGAATAGCTATGTTCTTTGAGATTTGCCTTAAACAGATCTTAAAATTATGTGACTTTTAAAGCATATTCAGTAAAACATTGCTACCATAAAGGGAATGATGATGAGACCGTAAGCATGCCAAGTATTTGCCAAGTCAAGTCACTGGGGCATGTCAGTCATCACTCACCCCAAATCCAACCTCAACCCCTGTTAGTATAAAACAATTAGAAAGGAGATAACATGGATTTTTACCTTCAGCTGCTGGTGGTACACAAAAATGTGTACAAAATGGGAAGAAATAAATTCAAATTTGTGTTTTTTTAGCGAGCCAAAAGGCTGGATTGAGAACACCATGCGTTTGGAAAATGCTAATCATTCCTCCGCCACTAGCCACTGCCCTGCACCGTAGCGGTCATATGCTCTTATATAAACTATTTACATACAATGGCACCCTTTATGGGGCTGCAACAAGACTCTTTCAGAATTCAGATCAAACGCCTCGATTTCCGCCTACCCCGGGGCAAAAGAAAGAATCTGTGTGGACACAAAAGGCCTCAGCCTGCCACATTATTTATTGTGCTTGGCAGGGCAGGGAAGTGAAGGACGCTTTTGACCCGAGTCACTGCTGCTGCGACATTAACAGGTTTACGAATTCATCCAGATTATATATGAACTAGGGAACTACTGCATAGTCTAATGGAGTGGCTAATTTGAATGCTACAGCACTTTAAAAGATTTATGATTTGATTAAATTGTCATTTGCACTTTAAAAATAAAATACAGCTTTAATTTTTGATGTTATCTAGCCTTTTTAATTCCGACAATACTAGCACAAGAATATATTAACCCAGTCACACAGATTAGTTCAGTTAAGTCCAATATAACATGTTACCAAATGTGCACGCCCTGAAACAATCTGCAATGGTTCATATTAAAAGTTATTATTTACATAGCACCGTCAACAGGTTAGTTGTGGTCACACCCCCTTCCACAAAACAGCAGAAACCATGATTTACGGCAACACAACGTAGTCGTTTGTCATGTACAATCAGATGACACACAGTGGCTCACTGTGCCATGAGTTTTTCTGCGTCACTCGCAGGCCGTCACTTCTGACAGTGTAGTGGGAGGGTTTGGGTGGCCTGCTAATAATCTGAATGAACTGCACCTCATTTACATTCTCTCTACACAAGGAGAGACACAAATGTGCAATTGTAGAGAACACATCTTTATTTCAAAGGCAAATATGCAAAAATAAAGATAGGTTTGCCATTGCATAAGAACAATATTATCAAGTCAGCAAAGCTTTTCTGTGATCATCAAAG